TCCCTGCACAGGGCAGGGTGTGGGACTGAGTTGAGGTCCCTTGCAACCCCACCCATTCCATGATTCCATGATATGGGAAGGTCCTGCCTTGGGGCAGAAGCGTTCCTGCTCTGCAGACAGATTCCCAGGCCTGTGCTCCCCCAGCTCTGAGAAGGCACCCAGGAATCTGCAAGGTGTGTGGGACAGGCAGAAGAGGAGCTGTGCCCTGGCACCCCAGCCTCAGAGAGAAGGGTCAGCTGCCCAGGCTGGGTGCCATGGCATGGCTCAGGGCTCGGGGCTCAGGCGTGGGCAGCAGCATCAGTCGCTCCTGGGTGCAGCCCGTGCACTGGTTACAACACGGTTGGTTTCTGGGAAGAGAAGGGTGGGCGCAGCCCCACCAGGACACCCTGCTGCCCCCAGAGGTGACCTCTGCAGCCATGAACACCTGTCCCTCACTGGAAGGAAACCCTGAGCACATCAACACCTTCCACACCTCTCTCGGGGTCAGGGACCAGCCACTCCCCTTGTTATCCCAATTTTATTGAGAGCATCAAAATTCGGGCTGAAGCCTCTCCAGACAGATTGTGCCGGGGCTGGGATAGGTCATCCCCAACCCCTGGCCCCTCCTGGAAGCTGCTGGAGGTGCTAGGGCTGCTCACACCCACCCAGTGATCTGGGCCAGCCAGAGCAGATCTGGGGCAGCCAAGCATGTCCCCAGCTCCAGTTTGCTCCCTGCTGGCACTGAGGTGGGGTGGAAATTCCTGTTTCCCATACTTTGAATGCTCTCTGCAGCCAGAAACTATGAGCTCATGGCTCTATACATAGGCACTGGAAAAACGAGTCTGCCTCCCTCCGCTGCTCTGACCATGCCAGAATCAAAGGGATTTTGGCATATCACGCCCATCTCTGTCAGTGTGTTCATTCCTTCCCAGGCCTGGCTTTTCTCAGTGCCTTTGCCCCACTTTCACATGCAGCAGCATCTTTGCTGAGAGACAAGGCTGAGTCTACTGCTGCCTGAAGGACAAGATACTGAGATCGAGGCAAACCCATCCCTAAACTCTGCCTGTAATCATTTTTCTCAGGCTTTAAGTGAAGCTCTAGGCCAGTGTTTCAGCCCCCTCAAACCAAGAGTTCCAGGATCCAGGGCAAGAGGACCAGGCTCAGGTGCTCTCCAGAATCCACAGGTGAGACCTTCTCTGCTCTGAGGTTGGTCGTTTCCAGTGAACAAAGGACATACAAAGGACATTCCAGACTAAGACACTGTCCCAGGTTGCCCAGGGAGGCTGTGGCTGCCCCAACCCTGGCAGTGTTCACAGCCAGGTTGGATGAGCCTTGAGCAAC